ACTTACACCATTCACAAAAATAAACTCAAAATGGATATTTTTTCTTTTCTTGTCTGTACATTTTGTGTCATATCTAAGAATTGATTGCCAAACCCAAGGCCATGAAGATTTATTCCTGTGTTTTCTACTAACTGTTCCATTTTTATTGTATTTTTAATGTTTTTATTGATTTTTTTTTTAGAGAGAGAGGAAGGGAGAGGGATAGAGAGATAGAAACATCTATGAGAAAAAAGCATCATTGATTGGCTGCTTCCTGCACACACACCACAGGGGATTGAGCCTGTAACCCGGGCATGTGCCCTGACTGGGAATTGAGCCAGCGGCTTCTTGATTCCTGGGTCAAAGCTCAACTGCTGAGCTACATGGGCCGGGCCTAACTGTTTTATTTTTAGCTCTTAAATGAGGTCTTTGATGCCTTTTTACCTGATTTTTGTGTATTTTGTGAGGTATGGGTCCATCTTCCATTTTTTGCTTGTGCATAAACTATTCTTTCCCTCATTGAAGGGGATTGCTGAAAATTAGTTGACATGAATAAATGGGTTTATTTCTAGACTCACAATTTTATTTTGTTGGTTTATATGTCTACTCATATGGCAGCACCATACTGCTCTGATTACTGTATAAGTTTTGAAATCAGGAAGTGTGAGTCCTCCAACTTTGCTTTTCATTTTCAATATTGTTTGGGTATTGGGGCCTCTTGCAATACCATATGAATTTTAGGATGAGCTTTTCCATTTTTGCAAAAAAGAAATGCTGTTGGAATATTGTTAATATGGCATTGCATCTGTAGATCACTTTTGAGAATATTGCCATGTTTAAAATATTGTCTTCCAATTCATAATCACAGGATACTTTTCAATTTATTCAGGGTTTTTACATTTCCTTAGCAATTTTATAGCTTTCAGTGGACAAGTCATGAGCCTTCTTTGATAAAGTTATTACTGATATTTTGTTGAAGATTTTTGCATCGATGTTCATAAGAGTTAATGATCTATAGTTTTGTTTTCTTTCTTTTTTTGGGGGGGGTGGGATGAGGTGGGCTGTTTTATTAGGTGGTTATTACAGGGGTCAGACCACAGAAGTGGTGTCAAGCTCCGGGAATGTGACCTCTCAATGTTGATCACAAAGCCCCCGAAGCTGGTCCCGGTGAGCCCCAAGGTCAGAAATGGAACTGAAAGGCCTCGGTCACATGCTGCTTCCAGGCGTCCAGGCTGGGCAGCAGGGAAGAGATGCCCATGACGTGCCAGGTCTCCCCGTCGGACACCGGCGAGGTCTGGTAGGACAGCAGCTGCACACCTGCCTCTGCCAGGAGCCCAATCATGGTAGGCAGCAGGCAGGGTTGGAGGGTTGAGCCCGGAACAGGAACAGGGGCAGACCCCTGCTGAGAGGCACTTCTGGTCTGAAGGCAGCTCCATTGAGTGCCTGCAGCACAGGTGTGGTGCCCTGGACAAAGCCCACAGTCTCGTAGGGGGCACCTGCCAGGGCCACGCTCAGGAGGTCTTCCCTGTATCCTTGCTCTCCTGGCACAGCGGGGTTATGGGAGGAGGTTACATTGAGGCCGCCCTCCTTCACCAGCAGCTTGGTGTTCACCAAGTTCACATCCGCATGATTGGAAGCGTCTTTGAGGAGGCCGACAATGACTGCGGGGCTCAGGCAGTTCCCAGCATTCTTCAGGGATAAGCCCTGCGTTACCACCTGGATGGTCCCTTTGGGGGACCCTGCCCAGGCTCGCATCAGAGTCCGCAGAGCTTCGGCCAGACCGAGCCAAGGTTTGGTGTGAGGAGAGAAGGCGATGGTAAGGGCCTGGGCATTCACAACCCCCGCGAGGGCTCTCCCCTTCACCATGTCCACGAACTGGACAGCGATCTCCTCCAGCAGCGATCTCCCCCATCAGCTGTCACCAGGTGGGGGCCTCTGATGACATTCTTGTGGTCCACCAAGCTCCTCCGTGAACACGTCCAGCTCTGCGCCCGCGCACTGCCCCGACTGCAGGGCCCGGAGCAGGGCGATCTCGTCCACGATCCCTCGATCTCGTCCACGATCCCTCCCTCCGCGGGCGCAGTTCACCACGCGCACGCCCTTCTTGCACAGGGCGAAGGTGCTGTCGTTCAGCAGGCCTGTAGTGGAGGGCAGGAGAGGGGTGTGCACGGTGATGAAGTCACAGAGGGGCCAGATCTCCTCCAGGGGCAGCTGCTGTACGCCGAAGGAGGCCGAGACCTCTGGTGAGATGATGGCGTCGTACCCTACAGTTTTCATCCCAAAGGACTGCATCCGGACGGCCACCTCTCTCCCCATCCTCCCCAGGCCAAGAATTCCCAGGGTCTTTCCATTCAACTCGGTGCCCATGAACTTCTTTCGGTCCCATTTGCCAGCCTTCATCGAAGCCGTCTCCTCGGGAATCTGCCTGGCCAGACACATGATCATCCCACAGGTGAGCTCCGCAGCACTGAGACTGTTCCCATTGGGAGTGTTCATGACCAGGATGCCCTTCCTCGTGGCGGCCTCCAGATCCACGTTGTCCACGCCGGTGCCGGCCCTGCCCACCACCTGGAGCTTCTCTGCTGCGTTGATGACATCCGCGGTCCCCTTGGTGGCCAAGCACACGATAAGGCCTTAGCAGTCCTGCAGCTCGGCTATCAACTCCTCTTTGCTCAGGTTCTGCTTCTCCACCACCTGCAGCCCTCCATCTTGCAGGATCTTCCGGCAGCAAGGGTCCAGGCTGTCACCGATGAGCACTTTCTGCAGATTTGCAAAGGCCATTGCTGGAGCCGGCCTCGGGATCGACCACTCTTCCTGGACAGAAACACCTCTGCCCCGAGAAGCTACTGTTCAGAAGGCTGGGCTTGTGTTACTGGGCCTTGTTTTCTTTTGATGTCTTTTTTGGTTTTGTTTTTAGAGTAATTGTGGCCTCATAAAATTACTTAGTGTTCCTTTTCATTCTGTTCTTTAGGCATTTAAAAGAATTTGTGTTAATTCTTTCTAAAATGATTAGTCAAATGCAGGTCTTCACTTTTTCAAAGTTGTTTGGTTTTTTAAAAATATATATATTTGTATTTATTTCAGACAGGAAGGGAGAGGAGAGCGAGAGAGAAACATGTCCTCGACTGAGGATCTAGTAACCTGGGCATGTGCCCTTGACTGAAATAGAACCCAGGACCCTTAGTCCGCAGGCCAATGCTCTATCCACTGAGCCAAACCATCTAGGGCAATTTTAGAAAGTTTTAATTATGAATTCAATCTCCTTACTTGTGCCAGGTATGTTCAGACTCTAGTTCTTCAGTTACATTTATAGTTCATAGCTTTGAAGGAATTTTTTTATTTCATTCAGGTTATATAATTTGTTGTTGAATAATTGCTCATAATTTCTCTTATAATCCTTTGTAAATTCAGATGATTGGGGGATATATATATATATATATATCATTATTATGTATACAAAATATGTGTATTGTTATAATATAGACTAGAGGCCCAGTGCACAAAATTTGTGCATGGGTAGGGTCCCTATGGGGCCAGTGATCAGGCCCAATCGGGGCCTTCCTGCTGCCAGCCAGGGCCTCCATCCCCTGGCTGCTGGCAGCCAGCCTGGGCCTTCATTTGGTGCTGCCCCCTGGTGGTCAACACACATCATAGTAAGCGATCAGTTTCCCAGTCAAACTCCTGTGGGGACAATTTGCATATGAGACTTTTATATATATATAGATATGGCATTATTTGGTATACCTATAACAATATTTCAGATAACACTTGGTATATAGTATAACATAATATATATATAAAAATATGTCTATAGATAAAAATGGTATTATGGCAACAACTGCTGGCACAGTCACTAATCTAACTCCCTTATTAACTCCCACAACTCATAGAACTGTCCCTGGAGGTGAAGAAGCAAGGAGACAAGAATGTCACCCTGAGCATTAATCAGGGAAAGATGCTGGTGAACTGGGATGTGGTGCAGGACTCAGGTGGCTCAGGTAATGACTGAGGTTGGAGAGAAGGTCAATGAGGCTTCACAGTGGAACAAGACACCAAAGGACATGACAAACAGAGAATTAAGTATTAAAGGGAAGTATGGGCTGTGGTGGGTCAAAGGAGAGAATGCATCCCAGAAGGAAGGGGGCCTTTGGGACAACCCAAGATGTGAACCTTGTCCTTGTCTTGTAGGCTCTTCTGTGGTGGGCCTTGTCTCCTCTCCAGGGGTGGGCAAGTTGCTGGTTGGGGCCCCCCTGTTCCTGGAAACTGAGGAGCAGTCAGTTCTGAATGACACACACAAGGTCCTGCATCAGGAAGGCTCCTTCGTCCTGCTCTCAGATGTCACATCCGCCTTTGTGAGCAACAAGGACACTCAGAACCTCAGCTCTCCAGTCACCTTTGTCTTCAAGCATGTGAGTGCTGGTGAAACGGGGCTGTGGGTGTGGAAGAGGCCTGAGTCCTGGACACAGTCTTGGGGTTCAGGGGCTCTCCCATGGGGGCATCATCTCCCCAGGGAAGCCCATCACAAGCAGGATTTGGTCAGAATTTCTGAGTACCTAATCACCAGCTCACACCTTGCTCTGTTCTTACAGACAGTGACCCCGAGGCCAAAGCAGAAGGTGTTCTGTGTCTTCTTGGAGCCTGGCCAGAAGGGGTGTGGTCATTGGTCCACCAAAGGCTGCTGGATGGTGGGCACCAGAGACATCAGCACCACCTGCCAATGCAGCCACCTCAGCAGCTTTGCCGTCCTCATGGCCCACTATGATGTGCAGGTGAGAGCCTTGAGAAGGGACTTTGTTCAATGTCTATTGCTAGGTAATAAGTTCCCATGCATGTTACACCTAAAAAACATAATTTATTATTCTGCAATTTATGTGAGTCAATAAATAAACATGGTGTAGCTGGGTTGTCCAGTCAGAATCTTACACAAGCCTCTCGTCTGAGGTTTTCTGTCCTCCTCTGAGCTCCCTGGTTGCTTGCAGAATTCAGTTTCCTATGATTGTAGGACTGAGGTTTTACACTCTTGTTAGCTGGCAGCAGGGGTCACATTCAGCTACTAGAGCCTCCCTGCATTCCTTCTTATGTGGCCCTCTCTCAGGCCCTCTCACAATGTGTCTATACTCTTATCTGGAGACTAGCAGCAGAAGCTCCCTCACATCGAGATATTCTCCAGCCCTGGCCAGTGTTCTCAGTGGTTAGAGCAGGGGTCCTCAAACTACGGCCCGCGGGCCACATGCAAATACAAATATTGTATTTGTTCCCGTTTTGTTTTTTTACTTCAAAATAAGATATGTGCAGTGTGCATAGGAATTTGTTCATAGTTTTTTTTTAAACTATAGTCCGGCCCTCCAACGGTCTGAGGGACAGTGAAGTGGCCCCCTGTTTAAAAAGTTTGAGGACCCCTGCGTTAGAGTATCAGCCCATGCACTGAAGGGTTGCAGATTCAATTCCAGTATGTTGTTTAAACCCATATTTGTGGGTTTCTTTACTTCTTTTGTGCAGTGGATTTCGATATATGTATATATCTTACCTAATAATAGACAAACATGTAAATTGACCATACCTTCGCTACACTAACCAGCCAATCAGGAGAGTATGCAAATTAATCCATCAAAGATGGCAGTTAATTTGCATATGTAGGCTCCAAGCAGCGGAGCGAAGCCTGACAGCCCCAGGGCTGGAGCAGCAAAGCCTGACAGCTCTGGTGCCGGCTTCGGCCAGAGCCCGGCCAGAGCGAAGGCCTGGGTCCCAGTTGCCAGAGGCAAACCAGTGCCAGCAGCACCGGGGAAGGGAAGGGAAGGCCTATTGCACGAATCTCTTCGTGCAACAGGCCTCTAATATATATATTATTGATTTCAGAGAGGAAGGAAAAGGGAGAGAGAGATAGAAACATTAATGATAAGAGAGAATCATGGATTGGCTGTCTCCTATGTGCCCCCCACTGGGAATCAAGCCTGCAACCCAGGCATGTGTCCTGACTGGGAATCCAACCCTGACCTCCTGGTTCATAGGTTGATGCTCAACCACGGAGGCACGCAGGTCCGGCTTTGCAGTTGCCTTCTAATTTTAAGGCATCATTGTTGGAGAATATGCTTAGTATAATTCAATCTTCTTGAATGTCTTAATGCTAGTTTTGTGACCCAACATATGGTCTGTCCTTCAGAATGTTCCATGTGCACTGTAAGAGAATGTATAATCTGATGTCTTGGGATGAAAAGTTCTGTAAATGGCAACTATGTCCATTTGATCTATTGTTTCATTTAAGGCTGATATTTCTTTATTGATTTTGTGTTTGGTTGATTTGTCTAAAGCTGTCAATGGAGTATTAAAGTCCCCAACTGTGATTGTGTTGATCTGTTTCTCCCTTTAATTCCATGATTAGTTGTTTTATATATTTCAGTGCTCCTTGATTGGTTGCATATATACTAAGAAGTGTTATGTTTTCTTGATGTAGTGTACCCTTTATCATTTTAAAGTGGCTATCTTTGTATCTTGCTATCTTTGTTATTTTGAAATCTATTTTGTCAGATATAAGTATAGCTATACCTGCTTTTCTTTGGATGTTTTGTGCTTGTAGAATCATTTCCCACTCATTTTCTTTGAATCTACCTTTGTCTTTGCAGGTTAGATGTGTCTCTTGCAGCATTTGGTTGACTTTTGTTTTTTGATCCACTCTGCCTCTCTGTGCCTCTTTATAGGTGAATTCAGACCATTTACATTTAGGGTAATTATTTATGTATAAGGATTTCCTATAGCCATTTTGTCTTTTATTTTCTGGTGGCTCTGTGCCTCCATTGGTGCTTTTCCTTTCTCTTTCTGTCTGTTGTTTTTGTTTGGTGATATTCCATACTTCTCTCTGTTTCCTCTTTTTTTTAAGCTATGTGTCCTGGTTTGGAGATTTTTGTGTGTGGTTACCATTAGGTTTATAAAAAATAAATTTGCTTATATACAGTAGCCTTTTTTCTTTTGAGTGCATCTGATCTTCATTCTCCTTTTCTAGTTCAGTCCTTTTCCCTCTCCCCTTTATGGTTTTGTTGTCACAAATTATCCCTGTTTATGCTGTAAGTTTTTGGTGATCTTACTTGTAGAGTTGTGACCTTTTGATCTTTGTTTCAGGTAGAATAATTCTCTTGAGTATTTCCTGCAATGGAGGTTTTCTGGTGAAAAAAAAAAAACCTTATCTTCTGTATGTCTGGGAACATCTTTATTTCTCTGTCATATTGAAAGGATAATTTTGCTGGATATATTATTCATGGCTGGTAATTTCTCTTTCAGATGTTTGAATATTTGGTTCCACTCTCTTCTGGCTTGTAGAGTTTTTGTTGAGAAATCAGATGAAATTCTAATGGGTTTTCCTTTGTAGGTCACTGGCTGCTTTGAGAATTTTTTCTTTGTCATTAATTCTTGACACTTCAATACCAAGTGCCTCTTTGGATTGAGGTAACTAGGAATTTTGTTTGCTTTTTTTGATTCAAGGATCTAGTTCATTCTATAGGTTTAGAAAGTTCTTATCCACTATTTGTTTGAATAGACTCTCCATTTCATGCTCCCTCTCCTCCTCCTCCAGAATACCTATAATTCTATTATTGCTTTTTCTGATGGAGTCATATAGTTCTCATAGAGCTCTTTTGTTTTTCTTTATGCTCAAGTCTCTCTCTTCTCCTCCTGCACCATTTCTAGATTCCTATCTTAAATATCATGAATTCTTTCCTCCGTCTGGTTGGCTCTGTTGTCTATGCTCAGTAGTTCACTCTTAATCTCCTTAATTGCATGCTTCATTTCTAGGATTTCGGATTGGATCTTTTTTTTCAGTCTGTTTGGTAAAGTGCTCATTTTGTTCATTAATTTGTTTTCTGAGTGCATTAGATTGCCTGTTTATATTTTCTCACATCTCATTGAGCACTTTCAGAACTGCAATCTTGACATCTCTGTCATTTATATCACAGTAGAGGCCCAGCACATTAAATTCGTGCATGGGTACTGTCCCTAGGCCTGGCCTGTGATCAGGGCCATCTTCCTCAGCTGTTGGCAGCTGGGCCACCCCCTGCCGCCACCCAACCCTGGTTCCCCATTCACCATCAGGGGTTCGGAGCCTGCCAGCCATATCAAGATGCCCCAGGCAGTTTGCAAGCTGGCTTCACCCCCAATCAAGGTGGGGGTCCCCATTGGGGGGAGTGAGGTCAGCTGGGGCAAGGGGTCACAGGTGGCCATGCCTCTCATTAGGGTGGGGGTCCCCACAGGGGGTGGGGCCAACAGGGGCACGGGGTAGCCTGTAGTTTACAAGCTGGTTACACCCTCGATTGGGGTGGGGGTCCCTGCGGGGGGCGGGACCAACCAGGTGATGGGCCACCAGCTATTTGCAGGCCCGACATGCCACCAATCGGGGTGGCTGTCCCCTCTGGGGGGCGAGGCTGACCACAGCACAGGACTGCCGGTTTGCAGGCTGCAGTTGTTCTGGTCTTTGGTCATTCTGGTCTTTTGCCATTTTGATCACTGGGCTTTTATTATATAGGATATTTCCATGTGTTCCAGCTTGCTTTCTGGAGATTTTACATTTTCTTTCTGGTCATCCGCATTACTTACCTTGTTCATGGTATTTGCTGTCCTCCTTTGCTTATGCATTTATCTCTGAAGAGGTCTTTCTAATATTTTTCCAGTAGATGGTGCTGAATTGCAAGATTGTTTTACCTCTGTGATCTCCCAGTCTTGAACCACTGCTGCTTCTGTAAGACAGTACAGCTATGCTGCTTGGGGATGGGGTTTGTTTTGCCCTTACCATAATGGTAACTCCTGACCTCTATGGGGTTCCACCCCAAGCACCCCTCCTGGGGATGTCACAGAGGGAAACAGCGGTTTTCCTGCAATAGCTCTTGGTTTACAGATAGTATGCTCCTGGACCCCACTCCAAAGGCAAAGGGAGGTGAGTTTTGGAAATCCAAGTAGAGGCAGGGTTCCATGGTTTTGTTTCTTTGTGTGAAACACCGCCACCAGCTGGACACTGGGGAGCCGCATGGCAGAACCACGTGCTCTGTCAGGCATCTGCTGACTCAGACACTCCCTCACAGCTTGCCCTGCTGGGCTGCACCCCAGGACTCCCAAAGCCCCTGCAGCTCTCTGTTCCTCCTGGCCAAAGAAAGCACCTACTACCACCAGATATTCCCCTCTCCCAGCCAGCCAGGGGCTGCATCTGCAGGTCCTCTCTTCTCATCTCCCCATTTATTCCTGGTTGCCCACTTTTAGATGTTTCAAAGTGCGGGTCTCTTAGGCATGCATCTGTGTTGAGCAGGGATTTGTATGTTGAATTATAGTTGGTTAACTTCTTGAAATTTCAGAGGCAGAGGACGAGGGCCTCTCTCATGCTGCCATTACTCTGATGTCACTTGTATTTATTCTTTGTCCCTTTTTTTACTCACATAGCGTTATTTTTCACGGCTGTGATTTTGTTTTTATTTATCATCTCTAAAAGATTATTCTATTCTAATCTACAAAAAGACATTCCATTATTTTTATTACCATCACATTTCATTGTATGCGTGTTCTGTAAATTACATATCAAATCTTCTCATAGTGGGGATTTTGTTTCATGATCATTTCCTACTAAAAATAAAGTTGTAATTATTTAGACACACTGCATTGTTTTCCTGTTTGAGTATTTAGTTATTATGCATACTATGTCAAATTTTTTTAATGGTACAGTGAAAAGTTTATTTCCCCTGGTGACTTAAGAACTCTAATAAGAATGTGCTAACTACTTGGCAACACCCCAATTATTTGGCCTCTGCAGAGCAAAGAGTGACTCACACTTGCATGCATGCACACTGACACCTAGAGACACAGCTCCACGATTCACAGGTAGACTTACCTCCAAATCTGTTAAATATGTCAATGCCATTCTTGTGGTATTTCCTCAGGTGATGCTTATGAAACAGATCTAAAGTATATTTAAGTGTTTTAACCTGACTTTTATTACATGAAAAAAGAGGTGATTTTTCATCAGTATTTTTAAATGGGGAAACCAACAATTTTTCTCAACACTTATGATAGTAAATGACATTGAAAATACTGCCCTATTGCAAATATGGAATGCTGATATATCTCTAAATTGCACTGCTCATCTCTTAAGAAAAGAAAAAGAGAAAGAAAAAGAAAAAAAGATATGGGTATTACATAACAGGATCTCTTCATCCTTATTACTGTGTTTTAAAGCAAGAAGCATATACAAAAAGGGAGAAAAGTAAATTGTTTAGGTGAAAGCATAAAATAAAATATTACCTTTAGCTGGGTTTACTTATCCCTGACCTATATTGGTAGATATTTCCATATTTTAGCATATAGAGGTCACACATGTGAACACTCCTACTAGCATTATCTGAAGCTGTATGATTCCTCACACTCTCACAAGGTCATTATCAAAGTTTTGGATCGTTATCCATCTGAGAGTCAAATATAACATATACTGTTATATTAGGAAATTTGTATGTCTTTCATTATGAATGGAATGGAATATCTTCATTTAAATGCGATTTGTATTTCTGTTTCTGGAAACAAGTTGTTCATCTTTTGGTCCATTTCTCTAATGGCCTGTTGAAACATTTCTTATGGATTTGGGAGCTCTTTATCTGGTAGAGAAGTTAGTTTATTTCCTTATACCAAAGATGCTCAAAACCTAGTATGTGTCAAAATCACCTGGAGAGATTACTATTTATTTTCAAATATTTACTTAGAAAATAATGTCAATCTTTCAGATTTATTGCAATACTAAAAATAGTGTAAACAATACCATATTGCTCTTTATCAGATACACCAACTTTGAACATTTAACCTCCATATTCTTTATTACTTTCATATTTCTTCTCTCTCCCTCTCTCTCTTCTCTCACCTACTTACACCAAAATTAGTTTTTGAAATGTATCATTATGGATTTAAGATGATTTGAAAAATCAGACAAGGAAAAATTTAATCTTTAAAAAATAGGCTGGAGCCCTAGCCAGTTTGTCTCAGTGGATAGAGCATCAGCTTGTGGACTAAAGGGTCCCAGGTTTGATTCTGGTCAAAGGCACATGCCTGGGTTACAGGCTTAATCCCCAGTAGGGGGTGTTCCGGAGGCAGCTGATCAATGATTTTCTCTCATCATTGATGTTTCTATTTATTTCTCACTTCCTTCCTCTCTGAAATAAAACGGGGGCGTGCAGGAGGCGGCCGGTCCATGATTCTCTCTCATTATTTATGTTTCTCTCTCTCCCTTCCTCTCTTCTGAAATAAATATATATATATATATTTAAAAATAAATAAATAAATGGTAAATAATAGGTAGGAAATATTAATTTAACCTACCACCATCATCAGTACTTTTCCTTTTTTAACCAAGGATTTAAATCTATAAATAACAGGTGTTGCAGGGATGGGGCGAATAAGTCCAAGGTGCGGAGTTGATCCCTGGACATCGAGTCTCCGGATACAGACTCTGTCACACAGTATCACATCATGGGGATGGAGGATGGTGCTCAACACAGAGCCGTGCACCTCTGTGACTGTCACATGATAAACTATAAGCTTATTTATGAAGGAAAATCAACCCTATGATTTCCAGGGTTTGGTCCTAAATAAGGACTCTCTTATCCCTCAATTTTTACAGGGTCTGAATTAATCAGTTCAGGACCCCCTAGAATTCTAACAGTGTCCATAAACATCACAAATTTACCTGGCTCCTCCACTCCGAATTTTGTTGTACCCTGCCCAAAACTGAAAATGGTAGAAAGTTCATTAACCCAGATTAGAAGAGTGTGACTGCTCTCTCCTCTTTGCTGGGTCCCTGGAGGAGGATCCCGCCCTGGCTGTGATCACCTATGTGGGGCTGAGCCTCTCTCTGCTGTGCCTCCTCCTGGCGGCCCTCACCTTCCTGCTGTGCAAAGCCATCCAGAACACCAGCACCTCACTCCACCTGCAGCTCTCACTCTGCCTCTTCCTGGCCCACCTGCTCTTCCTCACGGCCATCGACAGAACTGAGCCTAAGGTACTGACACTGTCCCAAAGGATGCATGCCCTGATTATGGAATGAGGAATATATGGGACCATGGTGCATTGGACACCTTAATAAAATGACCTTGGGTTCTGGGAAGATTAGAGGGGTGAGTATCCAATTTCACATTGACCCAACTAGAAATCATACCTTCTTCTTTTCTTTCTTCTTTTAAATATATTTTTATTAAATATATATTACCTTCTTTTGACAATTCCTTTATATACAGCAGAGTTCTCCCAAATGCCAAGGTATAGGAGAGGTCCTGGGGCCATGCTCCACCCTGACAATCCCACCTGGTGACTCTCACTCCTCCCCAGGTGCTGTGCGCCATCATCGCGGGTGCCTTACACTATCTCTACCTGGCCTCCTTCACCTGGATGCTGCTGGAGGGCCTGCACCTCTTCCTCACCGCACGCAACCTGATGGTGGTCAACTACTCCAGTGTGAGCAGGTTCATGAAGAAGTTCATGCTCCCTGTGGGCTACGGAGTCCCAGCTGTGATTGTGGCCATTTCTGCAGCATCCAGGCCTGACCTTTATGGAACACCTACACGGTAAGAGCAAATTCCCATTTCTTTATCTGTGAGATGTGTGGGATTGAAGAGCATACTTACTTTCTCCATGACTGTATCTTCAGAGCCAACAAGAACACCTATCACAGAAGAGACACTCAATGTTTGTTGATGAATGAATTAATGAATGAATTTGAATAATTGTTCTACATTTCTAAGGACCAATGCATTTTTAATTCTTTCTCTTTCTTAGCTGCTGGCTCCACCGGGAAAAGGGATTTATATGGGGCTTCCTTGGACCAGTCTGCGTCATCCTCTTTGTGAGTGAAGACATCAGAGCATCCTTAAGGCTCAGCTGAGGGTCATTAGACTTATAAGGAGGCGAAAGGATGACATGAGCAAGAATGTCCCTGGGCTGTCTGGGTTTGCTTTGGTTTTCTAAGACTGCTCCTAAAACTACAAGCTCTAACACTGTTACTAAATATGAAAACTACTTAAATGTGGAATTTCTGTTGGACGGGCTAGACTAGAGATAACAAACTAAAATGTTATTCACTAAACCTTGTGTGTTTTCCTGAAGGTCAATCTAGCTTTCTTTCTGATGACCCTCTGGATTTTGAAAAGCAAACTCTCTTCGCTCAACAGTGATGTGTCCACCCTCAAGAATACAAGGTAAAATGGAGAAGAGGGTGACAACCCCACAGACATGTGTGGTCCCAAGAGCAAATCCATGTGCCTCAGCAGCCTTAATGCCCCTTCTCGGGGTCTTCTGAGGGAACCAAGAGTAAAGAGATGCTGCTGTCCTCCAATGGCAGCCAGCTTGGATTCAGTGGTGGGCTGCTGACTTCCCAGCCACAGTGTTCTGTCTCTAATCTCCTTATAACTCCCTCAGCAAAAGGAATAATTGACATTTGTTGATAAACATTCTTTGGACTTTTGTCAGCAGTCCTACAACAAAAGTACAAAGAACCTGTGTGCCCTTAAAAATCTATAACTCCTCCCACAACCCAGTCTACACTTTCATACTCACTCTAGGTTCAGGCTCCCTCTCACCCCTCTCCAGTATCCTTTCTAAATTTTGCATGTCATTATTCCGCTGTATTAGTCATTGGAATAGCCTGTGACCTTTATGAAAATAAAAATCTTGCCTCTGTTACTTTTAATGCCCAGGCCCAGCACTTCCTGATACACAGTACAGACTCAGCAATGTTGGCTGAATAAAATTAGGCATCACCATGAAGCATTATAGATTTTTTTTTTTTGAAACTTACATTATGAAACTTACATAATTCAATTTAATCAAAATGCCATCCTGGACCCAAGTAGCATTTCTATTGTGGAGAATCATTGACAGTAAAGGTCAAAGCTGAAGCATTATAGATTTTTTTTTTGAAACTTACATAATTCAATTTAATCAAAATGCCATCCTGGACCCAAGTAGCATTTCTATTGTGGAGAATCATTGACAGTAAAGGTCAAAGCTGATACAATGCAGTCTAAGAACTCATCACCCATAGGGCAAGGCGGGAGCATTCATGGGGTAGAGATGAGAACAGCATTGATTCTGTTGTTCTGGGTGCATATGGGCCTCTCTTCTCCTCCTACCAAGGATGCTGACATTTAAAGCGATAGCTCAGCTCTTCATCTTGGGCTGCACGTGGTGTCTGGGAATCCTGCAGGTGGGTCCAGCTGCTCACGCCATGGCCTATCTCTTCACCATCATCAACAGCCTTCAGGGCGTCTTCATCTTCCTGGTGTACTGTCTCCTCAACCAGCAGGTACCGCTGTCCACCTCCCCCCCAGGACTCTTTCCACTCTCACTCCACTCAGTGAGGTGACTCAGAGTATGCTTTGCCTCTGCAGGTCCGGGAGCAATATAGGAAATGGTGGAAAGGAATCAGGAAAACCAAAGCTGACTCTGAGAAGTACACACTCTCCAGCAGAGCCATGTCAGATGTCCCTAAACACAGTGTGGTAAGGTCATGCATTGCTCCCAAAGCACTTCACTAACTGATAGATTACCTCATGCCAACACACTGGACAACCTGGGTATATAGCAGGTGATGCCCTAGGATGGCTCCCACTGAATTTACTCTTTGATTCCTTAACCATTAGCCATGGTCTCAGTTAGAAAATATATATGTTGCTCTTATTTCAGAGGAACTGTGTTCATCTTGACTTTTACACATTAGTAATCTTTTTTTAAAATAAAATTATCCTTAGTTGTATTTAAAATATATAACATCTTTTTAGGCTTACAAATATGGACCTTGTACATTAAACCATACAGATATGTACATATTTCTCCTTTCTCTGATTGATATTATTTTAAAGTATCATATGCCTTAAATTTCATTTTCTTTAATTCTTTATTGTTTAAAGTATTACATGAGTCTCCTTTTCCCCCCATTTACCTCTACCTGCCACCCCCTCACCCAAGCACAAGCCCTCACCCCCAACTGTCTGTGTCCATTGGTTTTACTCACATGCGTGAGTACAAGTCCTTTGGTTGATCTCTTACTGCCTCACGCCTGCCTTCCCTCATAGGTTGGACAGTCTGTTCGATGCTTCTATATCTCTGGTTTTTTTTTTTTTTTTTCATCAGTTTATGTTGTTCATTATATCCCACAAATGAGTGAGATCATGTGATATTTCTCTTTCTCTGACTGGCTTATTTTGCTTAGCATAATGCTCTCTAGTTCCATCCATGTTGTTGCAAATGATACGAATTCCTTCTTTTTTACAGCAGCGTAAAATTTCATTGTGTAGATGTACCACAGTTTTCTAATCCACTCGTCTGCTGATGGGCACTTAGGCTGTTTCCAAATATTAGCTATTGTAAATTGTGCTGCTATGAACATAGGGGTGCATATATCCTTTCTGATTGGTGTTTCTGTTTTCTTGGAAAACATTCCTAGAAATGGGATTACTGGGTCAAATGGAAGTTTCATTTTTAATTTTTTGAGGAAACTCCATACTGTTCTCCATAGTGGCTGCACCAGTCTGCATTCTCACCAGCAGTGTACCAGGGATCCTCTTTCTCCGCATCCTCTCCAGCACTTGTCCTTTGCTGATTTGTTGATGATAGCCATTCTGACAGGTGTTAGATGGTACCTCATTGTCGTTTTGATTTGAATCTCTCTAGATGATTAGTGACTTTGAGCATGTTTTCATATGTCTCTTGGCCTTCTGTATGTTCTCTTTCAAAAAGTGTCTATTTAGGTCCATTGTTCATTTTTTGTTTGGGTTGTTTATCTTCCTTTTGTTAAGTTGTATGAGTTCTTTGTAAATTTTGGACGTTAAACCCTTATCAGTGATAACATTGGCAAATATGTTCTCCCATGCAGTGGGCTTTCTTGTTGTTTTGTTGATGGTTTCTTTTGCTGTGCAGAAGCTTTTTATCTTGATGTGGTCCCATTTGTTTATTTTTTCCTTAGTTTCCATTGCCCTAGGAACTGTATCAGTAAAGATATTGCTATGACATATGTCTGCTATTTTGCTGCCTATGGAGTCTTCAAAGATTTTTATGGTTTCCCGTCGTACATTTAAGTCCTTATCCATTTTGAATTTATTTTCGTGTACAGTGTAAGTTGGTGTTCTAGTTTCATTTTTTTTTTGCAAGTATCTGTCGAATTTTCCCAAACACCATTTATTGAAGAGACTGTCTTGACTCCATTGTATGCTCTTGTCTCCTTTGTCAAATATTAATTGAGCATAATGGCTTGGATTGATAGCTGGGTTCTCTGTTCTGTTCCAACGGTCTATATGTCTGTTCTTGTGCCAGTACCAGGCAGTTTTGAGAACAGTGGCTTTGTAATATAGCTTGATATCTGGTATTGTGATCCCTACAACATTGTTCTTTTTTCTCACTATTGCTGTGGCTAATAGGGGTCTTTTTTTAATCCAGATAAATTTTTAGAGAGTTTGCTCTAGGTCTTTGAAATATGCCATTGGTATTTTAATGGGGATTGCATTGCATCTATAGATTGCTTTGGGCAGTATGGACATTTTTAATGATGTTTATTCTACCAATCCATGAACACAGTATATTCTTCTATTTGTTTATGTCTTCCTCTATCTCTTTTTTCAGCATCCCGTAATTTTCTGAGTACAAGTCCTTTACCTCCTTGGTTACATTTATTCCTAGGTATCTTAATTTTTTTGTTGCAATGGTAAATAGGATTCTATTTTTTTAAAATTTCTCTTTCTGTGAGTTCATTATTGGTGTATAAAAAAGCCATAGATTTCTGGGTGTTAATTTTGTATCCTGCTACATTGCCTAATTCATTTATTAAGTCTAGTAGTTTTTTGATGGAGTCTTTAGGGTTTTTGATATACAATATCATGTCATCTGCAAATAATGACAATTTTATGCCTTTTATTTCTTCTTCTTGTCTGATCACTATGTCTAGCACTTCCAGTACTATGTCAAGCAGTAGTGGTTCAAGTGGGCATCCCTGTCTTGTTCCTGTTCTTAGGTGAAATGGCTTTAGTTTTTGCCCATTGAGTATGATGTTGGCTGTAGGTTTGTCATATAAGGCTTTTATTATGTTGAGGTATGATCCCTCTATTCCCAGATAAATCCTACTTGGTCATGGTGTATGATCCTTCTGATGTACTGTTGGATCCGATTTGCTAAGATTTTGTTGAGGATTTTGGCATCTATGTTCATGAGGGATATTGGCCTGTAATTCTCTTTCTTTGTAATGTCTTTATCTGGTTTTAGAATTAAGGTAATGCTGGCTTCATAGAATGAGCTTGGAAGTGTTCCTTCCTCTTGAATTTTTTGGACTAGTCTGAGGAGGATAGGTTTTAGTCCTTTGAATGTTTGGCTAAACTCCCCAGTGAAGCCGTCTGGCCCCGGGCTTTTGTTTGCTGGAAGCTTTTTAATGACTGCTTCTATTTCCTCCATAGTTATTGGCCTATTGAGATTTTTAGATTCTTCCTGATTGAATTTTGGAAGGTTGTATTTTTCTAGGAATATGTCCATTTTCTGTAGGTTGTCTAGTTTGTTGGAATAGTGCTGTTCATAGTATTTTTTTTAGCAATCCTTTGTATTTCTGTGGGGTCTGTTGTTATTTTGCCTCTTTCATTTCTGATTTTGTTTATTTGGGTCCTCTCTCTTTGCTTCTTGGTGAGCCTGGCTAGAAGTTCATCAATCTTATTTGTCCTTCAAAGGACCAGCTCTTGGTTTCATTGATCTTTTGTATTGTTTTTTTGGTCTCTATGTCATTCATTTCTGCTCTGATCTTTATTATCCTCTTCCTTCTGCTCACTCTGGGCTTTTCTTCTTGCTCTCTTTCAAAATCTTTAAGTTGTAGAGTTAGATGATTTATTACCATTTTTCTTGTTTTTTGAGGTAGGTTTGCAGAGCTCTAAACTTCCCTCTCAGAATTGCTTTCATTATGTCCCAACGATTTGGGGTTGTTGTGTTTTCATTGTCATTCATTTCCAGGATGTTTTTAATTTCTTTGTTGATCTCTTTGGTAACCCAATCATTGTTTAATAACATGCTATTCAGCTTTGTTTAAATTTTTTATTGTTTTAAATGTTGTTTATTTCTAACTTTCTGCCATTGTGATCTAAGAAGATGCCTGATATGATTTCAATCTTCTTGAATATGGAGAGACTTTGCCTGTGACCCAATATTGGTCTATCTTTGAAAATGTCCCATGTGCACTTGAGAAGAATGTATATTCTGTGGCTTTGGGGTGAAATGTTCTGAAGATGTCAATTAAGTCCACCTGAACTAGTGAGTCATTTAGGATTGCTGTTTCTTTGCTGATTTTTTTGTCTAGATGATTTATCCAGTGATGTCAGTGGGGCATTAAAGTCCCCTACTATGATTGTATTGTGTCAATCTCTCCCTTGATATCTTCCAGGAGTTTTTTATGTATTAAGTGCTCCTGCATTGTTGGATTTATTGTTTACCAGAATTATATCCTCTTATTGTATCAATACCTTTAGTATTATCAAGTGGCCTTCCTTATCTCTTGTTATGGCCTTCACTTTGAGGTCAATTTTTTCACATATATGTATTGCTACCCCAGCTTTTTTTTCATTTCCATTTGCCTGAGAGATATTTTTCTATCATGCACTATCAGTAGATGTGACTTCCTTGTTCTGAGTTGGGTCTCTTGTAGACAGCATATATATGGGTCATTTTTTTTATCTATTCAGCCACTCGATGTCCTTTGATTGGAGCATTTAGTCCATTTACGTTTAAAGTTATTATTGACTAGAGGCCCAGTGCATGAAATTCGTGCATGGGGGGGGGGGTGTCCATCAGCCCAGCCTGCACCCTCTCCAATCTGGGATCCCTCTCCAATCTGGGATTCCTCTCCCAATCTGGGACCGCTTGCTCCTAACATCTCGCCTGCCCACCTGCCTGCCTGATTGCCCCTAACCTCTTCTGCCTACCAGCCTGATCGCCCCCTAACTGCTCCTCTGCTGGCCTTATTGATGCCTAACTTCTCCCCTGCCTGCCTGATCGCCCCCAACTGCCCTCTCCTGCCAGCCCTATGGCCCCCAACTGCCCTCCCTTGCCAGCCTGATTGCCCCAACTGCCCTCCCCTGCTGGCCCAATTACCCACAACTGCCCTCCCCTGCAGGCTCGATCACCCACATCTGCCCTCCGCTGCCAACCCGATCACCCCCAATTGCCCTCCCCTGCCAGCCTGATTGCTCCAACTGCCCTGCCCTGCTGCGACCCGCCTCCTCCACCAGGAAACGCCTCCTATGCATGAGGCGGTGGAGATGTCGGGACTGGCCTCCTCCTTGTCACACAGAGCTGCGGGACCCCAAGGCCTCACCGCATGGAGCGGCCACCGGGCCCCACCTCCACTGTGCATGTGGCCATCTTGTAGTGGCCATCTTTGTGGCGCCATCTTGTGGTGCCATCTTGTGGTGGCCATCTTGTGATGATGTCGCATGTGAGGGTGTGATGCCACCTAGGCTTTTATTAGTATAGATAG